AAGACACTTCCAGCAGTCCCGGGATATCTGGTTTCACCGAAGCTCAACAGGTACTGGTGTTTTTTCGTACCCAGTGCAATAAGAACGCTTGGAAAAGTGTCGTACCCTGTCCTTCGGGCAATCTTCAGCTTATATTTCATCCACTCTACTTATGAGAATTGTACGTCGTTTGATGTGCTCACGGATGAGCGTTCTACGCTAGTCCGATTGCGCCGATTACCACACAGGTTTTGCCGCCAGAACCTTGGAATTTTTGGGATGTCTGAAAAAAATAACGAAAAAGTCCCTTAGTATTATTTTAGCGAATGATACACGGTTTAGGCTTTAAATTTGAGGGTTGGAAAAGACAAATAATAACAATAGTGATAAATCATAATGAAAATAGTAGTATGAATAATAATAACAATGGTGTTGATAACAACAATAATAATAAAAACAAAAGCAATAATAATAATAGTAATGATGTCAGTAGTAACTGGCGATGATATTGATAATGATGAGATAATGTTGATGATAACAATAATCCTAGCGGTCCTGGTATCTTTAACACTGTTGGCTGTGATCTGAAATAAAATGTAAATTGCCAAAGTATTTGGTCTGAAGTATTAGGTGTATGAGGTATTAAGCAAAATACTAAAACGGAAATTGATATTTTTAGCTATTAGCCACCATATTACATCAAAACTGTTTTTGCGGAAAAGTTTTAACTTTATCATTTTCACCAGGGAAATCGTTATTCTCGTCTAACTGAATTTGACTGTAGTGCATTTTTTCTCTTTTCTCAATGCCTCTCCAGAATTTGGGGTTCCTACAGCAAAATAGTTCTTTGAACAACCCTCCTTCACAGTAGGACTGCCAGAACTGTTGCTGCGGTACTGCGGTGTTACCAGGGTGCACTGGTAGCTTGTCTCAGGCCTGTTTATTCAGAAATGCTTCAGTGTGCATGCCAGAAGTGTATTTTCACTTCTCTGCAAGAGGCCTTTTTTTCTCACGTTTTTAATAAAAGGTGCCCAATAAAGCTGAGGGGTTCTGGTGCATCGCGGTCAGCCTGAGAGTCGCATCAAGTACTCCACTGCTGGATTCTCCACCGTCTACGTCTAGTAGTTTGACCGGCAGCACATCGTCGTCATCTCTCAACGCATTATCGCTTGGCACTGCATCCAGCAACATTGCCACAGTGTTTTATCACCAACCGCTTCATTTCGACAACTTCCCGAATCATCTCAGTCCAGTCGGTTTCGTTTTCTGTGGACTGTACTTACCTGCAATTCCCTCACTTCTAGCAAATCTTCCATGCCAAATGTGGCTGTGATTCAGCAGGTGGTTTAGCCCGTCACATTAGTGCTTTGAGCGAATATAGTACTCAAGGCATTTTTCAAACCGCTTCTTACTGCTTCTACGTCGGATGAATAGCAAATTGGTGCTGAATTATCGAAGCATGACTTGTACCACGGCTCATAATTGTGTTCCTTAGGTAACCCTGAGAAGGGAAAACCGTTGGTAATCTCGAGCCAGAGATGTTTCTAAGTTCTGTTTTTCATAAAGTATGGAATATAAAAGGCGGTTTTGGGTTTTATCAAAGATCAGCTGAGTTGTGAGTTCAGATCCCTCTTTGTGCATCCTATTCTTATTTGGAAAACTCTTTCTCAAAAGTGGCTAGTTTTCTTTCCTAAACTTCTCATCCTAAAAATATCAATATTCTTGCCTCTAGAAGCATGCATTTTAGATGGAAGCGGCTGGGCCGAGTCAGCCGAGTGATGTATCGCTATTCATGCGAACGGGCAGTGCCGAAGTGGTAGAGGACTTCTCGATTCGATGGAGAACGCGAAAACGTCGCATGGAACTGAAAGTGAATGATTTGTATTGTTGGAACAGTTTTTCTCAGCTAGGCGTTTCAAACAAAAGCTTTTTCCAGTACTGTATGGAGTGCTAATTATACTGGTTGGTTTTTAAAAAGACTGAAAAAAATAATATTTCATTGTGCTTCGAGAATTAGTGCCTCATCCCAGTAACGCTTAGGATGATGTAATGATGTTCAGCTCACGTGAAAAACGTTTGGGAACGGCTAAAGCCCTGCCAAATTCAGTGCTGAGAAAACCGCTAAGTTAGCACTTGTTCAGACGAGGAAGCAAACTGGCCACCAGGCGGTAAAGCACGGGTCAAAGCTGTATAGGCGGAGAACGGAGCTATGAATTGCGGCTGATCCCGTTAAGTTGCGCAGTAGGTGATGGTGCAGAATATTATCACGACCACTAGAGAATGTGATCGGTACCCGCGAAAAA